GCTTGATGTTCGCCCCGAAAAACCCACTTCAGATTCTGGACCTCAGACTCTTAAGACAGTCGTCCTCAGCCTTCCTAATGCCACCACCTTTTATTACGGTTCCTCGTGTGGTGGGGACCCCCCAACCATAAAATTATTTTCGTTGCTACTTCAAAACTGTCATTTTGCTACGTAATGTAAATATCTTAGGCGACCCCTGTGAAAGGGTCAATCAGCCCCCAAAGGGGTCCTGACCCGCAGGCTGAGAACCGCTGCTCTCGGACTTTTAGCACTAAGGTGCAGGGATATGCGACAGCGGCCACAGGAAACTCACTCACACGGGAGGGAAACTCCCCGGTTCCTGCCACCCTGTGGGGTCCGGGGATAGGGGAGGAAGGTGGTTCTCGGCAGAGCAGCCAGAATGAGTCCCTAGGAACCAAGTCAGACCCGGTCAGCTCTGCTCAGAGCCCGCCTGCCCCCACCTCTCCGAGGAAGAGCCACAGCTGCACCAGCCTCCCTGAGGGCATCAAAGCCTCCTCCTCTGTTACATCCTGACTCAGGCCTCTGCTCCTGTGGCTCCTCTGGCCCAGAGCTGGGGCCCTTCCCTCTGACCTGAATAGCTTGTTCCCTCTCCTGCATATCTCTGCTCAGAGGCACCCTACCCGCCTGTTTCCTCGTTCTTCTGTCACACGCTGCCTGAGGACTGGAGCCTGTCTGCAGAGCTCTCTGCTGCGTCCCCAGGCCCGGGAATCGTGGCTTACTGAGCCTTATCCCCTTTGCATCCTGAACACTGTGAGAGTAACAACTGCCTGGCTGGTGTGGCTCAGTGGATAGTCTTCGGAGTGAAGGGTCCTGGGTTCGATTCCAGTCGGGGGGCACATGCATGCGTTGCAGGCTGGATCTATGGGGGGGGGGGGCAGCCGATTAATGATTCTCTCTCATCATTGATGTTTCTCCCTCCCTCCCTTCCTCTCTGAAATTAGTAAGAAAAAATATTTATTTATTTATTTATTTATTTATTTATTTATTTATTTATTTATTTTTAAAGAGGGAAGAAGGTGGCACCTGATCTAAACAGTAGAACTGGTTTTGAAGGAGTGCCCTGTGGAAATCAGGAACAGGTGCCTGATGGGCTGTTTGGGGCGTGGCTATGGCACCGGGACCCCTGGCTGCACCTGCTTGAAGGAGGCACCACCCTCGGCCCTGGAGCCAAAGGCAGGGAGTGTGGGTGGTCATGCAAGGCTCCTGCGTGCAAGGCCCCTGCTTCCGAACCGCTCGCACCCATCCTTCTCCCTCCGACAACCAAGCCTTCTCCTGCTCAATCACAATTTTAATTTAATTCACCCATTCATCCTTTTATTCTCTTGCTCACACACTATATAAGTTCCCAGGCCAGCCGCCCTGCGTCTCTCGAGACTACATTTCCCAGAAGGCCGCGGGGCCGCTCTGCTCCGATTGGTCCAGAAGCGCGGGTCCGCTCAGCGGCTTCTCCCCTCCCCTTCCCGCGACTGGAGCCGTGAGAAAGGCCGCCCCCGCCCTCACCTCCCGGCAGCGACGGGGGCCGGCGGGACTGCGGCCCTTCCCCATGTCCTGCCTCACAGCACGGCTCCCCGGAGGCGACTGAGCCTAGCCTCCATCTTGCCGTTGGAGGTAGAAGGTTGCCGGGCAACTGCAAGACTTGCAGGAGACCGCGAACTGCGCGCTTCTCTTGTCGCTCTGTCACTCGGGCTGCTGGGAAATGTAGTTCGGTGATGAGGCCGCTCCAAGTAGAGTACAGAGGCTGTCGCGGCCCCAGGCTGGCTTCCTCACATCTTCCCTGCTGTCTGGTCCGTCTGTCTTTCCATCCTCCTCCTACTTCTTTACCTTCCTGCCTCTGTCACAACGTCTTCTCGTTCCCTCTGTCTGTTCCCCATCCCGGAGAACTGGTTCCCTTCAGTCAGCATATAATTTTCAAAACAGGTAAAACGGGGCGCGCTTTCCCCCCTTCGGCTTCCCCCAGGCATGTGGCCTTTTCCTTTCTCTCTCCTAGGCTCCTAGGAACCTTCTTGTGCTTCTGTAACGTGTTTCCTGACCTTAGGCAGCCAGCTGGAGGACCTATTGCTTCCATAACTTTGTCAATAAAGTTTGTCTAGTAATAATAATAATTAAAAAAATAAAGGTGAGTGGTCTCAAATATAGGTTTGCTTAACAGAAGGCACTAGGATGACAGAGGTGGTTCCAGAAAAATGGGAGCGAAGGAACAAGAGAGAGGGTTAAAGATCAAAATATTAAATAAAAACACAGTGGAGCCTGAACGGGTTTGGCTCAGTGGGTAGAGCATTGGCCTGTGGACTGAAAGGTCCTGGGTTTGATTCCCATCAAGGGCACATGCCCGGGTTGGGGGCTTGATCCTCTCTCTCATCATGGATGTTGCTCTCTCTCCCTTTCCCTCTTCCTTCCTCTCTGAAATCAATAAAAATATATTTTTTAAATTGCAGTCGGATTAGTGCCCTAGAGGGCAGCCGGTGGCCTGCGGTGTGTCGTGTCCTGCTTCGTGTCTTACAGAGTGACACAAACCCTGGCTTCTCTTTTCTCAGGACAGGAAGCATTTGCATCCTATTCACCTTTGCAACGTAGCTTCTACCTTCACAGCGTCTGGGCTCTGATCAAAGTAGCTGAAAACAGCAGGAGCCACACAGGCTCCCAGTCATCTGTTCTCTTTGTCAAGTTTTGGGTATTTTTCCTCACAAGTCTCCCTCCAACTTTCTCTCATTGCTGTCACCTTCTCTGAGTCTCTGAAAACTCAGTCATCTTACTGTGCCTCTGTTTCTGTCTCCTTCTCCCACCTAGTGTCCTCCTGCATCCGTGTCTGTCCCTTGTCTCTCCTTGTCTGCATTTCTGGTCCCTGTGAATCTACCCCCTCTCCCTCTGTCCCTCCTCTCCCTTCCACCCCTCACTGCTCCCCCTCCCTGTGGCTAATTATTCTGGCACACCGGCCTCCCAGGGCCTGAGTCCCCGGCCGATGACTTCTTACCACATCCTCTAGGTCTCCGCTGTCTTCTGTCTGTCCACAGACTGGAGTCTCCCACCTGGCAAACCCTGGGTCTCTCCCTGCCCTGAGTCAGTCACTCCTCATCCTCCCCGCTCTCCTCCCCTCGCCCCCACCCTCTTTATCCCAGTCCCCTCCCTACGCCCTCATCCCCTTTACCCATAGCTTTTCTGACGCCCCGGGATTGCGCTGGACCAGAGTCGGCTCCACTAGTTACCATGGACACGCAGGGACGCCTACCGCCAGCCAATACAAACGACCGTCATCGCGATGCGCACGCGCGCGCAGGGAGGGCCCGTCTGACTACAACTCCCAGAAAGCTCCGGGCCCAACCTCTCCTCTCCCTGCGGGTGTGCGGGAGGTGCTCCTCCCCAAAGCTCCGCAGGGGTTGCCATGGAGACCCAGGCTGATGCTGTCTTAGCGAGGGCCGTGATTGGTGCAGAACACGGGCCGCAGAGGACCGAGAGGGCGGGCGTGGGAGGCGTGCGCGGTGGGAAAGGCAGCGCTGCTGTCAGCTGCCCCCTGAGAAGCTTGCGCACCTCGCCGGGGGCCCCGACGCCTGGATCAGAGGCGGGGAGCGCGGGAAGAGGCGGCCCGGAGTGTGATCTGATCGTTGGAAATAACGCTACCCCGAGGAACAGGGTGGAAACAGAGGCGAGGGCTGGGGAAGGGCCAGGAGGCGATGGGACTGCTGCGTAGCTTCCTGGGAGACATAGTCCAGCTGGGGGGGCAGCCTGCGAGCGCGCATGCTCAGGAGAGCGGGCGCGGCCGCTGAGCGCGGAGGTGAGGGCGGGGTCCTCTCCACAAGGCTTGGGCGGGGACGGGGGACGGTGCGGACCATGGATTCCGGCTGCCCCTGCGGGACCTGGAATGCAGGACAGGGACCTGGGCACTCCCTGCTGCTGAGCCCGGCGCTGTCGCCCGAGGCCCGTCAGTCACAGCATTGCCAAGGCGACGGAAAACGGGCGCCCCGCCCCCGGTTGCCAGCGGTGCCTGGACTTGCGGAGTTCCCTAAAGCGGAAGTTGCCCGCTAAGGCTTCTGGGAAATGTAGTTCAGGAATCTACGCACAGTCGTGCTGGCTGGGCGGTAGTCCAACTTTCTCCCATGGTTTTGGGGTTGACCTGGGACCTGGAGGGGCGGAGGGTTGGCTCAGGCGGCCTCCGAAATCGGATCCACGCCCTGAATGAACAGATTCCTTCACAAAGCCCGCGCCTAACAGCTGCAGGAGCAGCGGAGGGCACAGAGAGCGGTGGTCGTCTTTATTTGCAGGTGACAGATTCATTGAGACACGGAGACCTGCCAAGGTTACCTGGCAAAGAGGCGAGGCCAGTCTCCGGTCCAGTGGTCGCAGGCTGGTGTGGGCCCCTGGGAGCTCCCCTCTCACCTCCCGGGTCCACCTGCCGGGAACCTGAGGACACCATGATGTGCACAGTGTGATAAGCAGGGCCCAGAGGATGGAGCTGAATTGGGGGAGGATGCCACCTGGGGGCTGAGCCACACGGGTGACTGCGTGACTGCACAGGTGCCGGGGGCGACAGGTGGAGGGAGACTGCCCTGTGGAAACAAGGTGGAACCAAGATGGCACGGGAATGTTCTGAGACTGGGTGGAGGAGTGGGTGGTGCAATGATGGGCTGGTGTAGGGCAGCGGTAGTGGGGCTGATGCCCAGGTGGTGGGTGCTGGTGACATTCGCCTATAAGAGAGAGAGCTACAGGGCAGGGATGAGGGGATGTACAGAGAGAGCAGGTTTAGGGCAGAGAAGAGGTGACTTCTGAGCCTAACCATTCTTTGGAGCTGGGGGTGACCAGAGATTCTGCAGACCCAGCTAGAGAGGCCAGGGCTGGTGGCCCCACCCTGTGAGTCACTGTCCTATCATCCTTCCCCCAGGCAGGACGGAGGGTGGCACAGCACAACATGCACTCGATAAGCTTTCACTCCACTGTCATTGCAGCAGCCCCATCACCTCCACCCCCGGGGTCAATAGCCTGGAGCCCAGGCCATCTTTCCGATGAGGCCGGTGGCACTGTCCTCCTCCGGGCGCACAGCCTGGAAAGACGAGAAGCCCATCGTGGTGAAGCTGGAGGACTCTGAGGAGGAGGTGGAGGAGGAGGAGGCGGCCTCCCCTTGGGACCCCGGCCCAGAGGCTGCCCGCTGGGGTTTCTGGCACTTCCATTACGAGGCGACAGCAGGTCCCCGAGAGGCCCTGGCCCGGCTCCGGAAGCTGTGCCGCCGGTGGCTGCGGCCCGAGGTGCACTCCAAGGAGCAGATGCTGGAGGCGCTGGTGCTGGAGCAGTTCCTGGGCGCACTGCCACCCGAGGTCCAGGCCCGAGTGCGAGGGCAGCAGCCAGGCAGCCCCGAGGAGGCCGTGGCCCTGGTCGAGGGGCTGTGCTGGGAGTCAGGACCCCGGAGATGGGTGAGTCGTTTGCCCTGAACAGAGGTCAAAGGTCAGGGTTAACTGGGGAATGCCATGCTCAGGTAGACACGTCCCAAATGGTCTAAAAATGGTCGCCTGCAGCGGGTCCTATACAAGGGTCACGGACACAGGTTGGGATGCCAGGGGGCGGGTGTCAACACAGGACACCCCTGCACACTCCCCGGGGGATGGGTTCCCTGAAGGGCCTAGTCAGTCCAGACCTTGAAGCCCTGCATTGGGGTCTCCCTGCCTCGGCCCCTAATAAGAGGGGGCATCTCACCAGGTCACAGTCCGGGTGCAGGGACAGGAGGTGCTATCAGAGAAGGTGGAGCCCTCCAACTTCCAGTCCCTCCCGCAAACCAAGCCTCAGACTACACAACCTGGGCCTGAGACAACCCTGGGGACCACACGGAGGTCACCACCGAGACTTCAGGTGAAAAAGGAGCCTGAGGTCACAGAGGACCCAGGTGAGGACAGGAAAGGTAGGCAGGGCCCAAGGCCCACCTGGAAGGACCTGGGAGCTTAGCCCGGACATCCTGAAGCCTATGGGGCCGTCACCTAATGGATGGGCCACCCCAGCACGGCCCCTCCCCCCCCAGCCAGCTGTCATAGTTGTTCCCATGCCCTCCCCTGGCAGGGACAAGCTGCCGGGGTTTCACATGTGGGAGGCATGCGGGGTTCCCTCACAAGGCGACCCATTGAGGGACGTCAGCCGGTCACTGAGGAGGCCACAGCAGGCTGGGGGTATGCGGGTGCAGATGAGGGAGCACCCCAAAGTGCTGGGGCCTGACCCTCCCTTGCACACCTCCTGAGCAGGTGCCACAGCTGACCACCCACTGCCCCACTCCTGTGCGGTCCTTGTGCAGCCCCTCTCCCACCATCTGTACGCCCAGCTCCCACAGGCCTGCAGGGTGCAGGGCACAGACCTGAGCCACCTCCGGCCACAGCTCCTCCAAGCTGGGCCCCTGGAGCCGCCCTGCAACCAGCTATCACCCCACTGGATCCCAGTACCTGGCTTCCACTGGGGGGAGTCCTGGGGGGAACCTCGGGACACCTAGGCCCATCCCTCCTCTCCAGAGCTTCTGGATCCTGAGGCTCTGGTCAACCCCCAGGCGGCCGCTTCCACGCTCCTGCCTGAGGCCCAGGTGAGCCCAGCTGGAGCCGGGGGCGGGGGGTAGGTCCCTCCCTGGGCCGCGCAGGGAAGATGAGCAGTGACTGCTGGTTTCAGGACTGTGGGACGTCGCTGGACCAGGCCTCTCTCCACAGCAAGCCTGGGCCTGCGGGTACCCCCCCGGAGGGAACCTGGGGCCCTGTGGGAAGAGGCAGCTGGGGGCAACCCCTCACCAGGTAAGACGGGGCACGGTGTGGGTGGGGCCTCTGCGTGGGCAGAAACCCATCTGCCTATCCCATTCCTAGACCTGCTCCCCCTCGCCCCGGACCATCCCTCTTAGCACCAACCTTCAGCATCCCCCAGCCTCAAAGCCCCGCTCTCTGCTGACCTCACGCCCCTCCTCCAGCTGCTTCCCCCACCCAGCGACACCTCCAAGACCTGAGCCTGTGCCCCAAGCCCACACCTCCCAGCTCTGGCACCCAGTGGCCCAATAGGGAGGATCAGGACAGGTTAGCAGTCAGGGCGGGCGGGCGGGCAAAAGAGGCCTGGACAGTGCGGATCGAGCAGCCTGGGCCACTCAGCCCCAGGCTGGACATCACCGGGTCCTGGTCTCTTTTCCTTCCCATGTTCTCACAGACATGCTTCCATCCCGTGTTCTCACACAGACCTTGCTCTGAACGCTGGTGAGACTTAAGTCATGTTCTGAGACACACCTGTCTAACACTCCCCATCACACAGAAGCCTGCCTGGATTAAGAACCCATTTTATTAATGCTCTCATACATTTTGTCACACTGTTGGTGACAAAAATCAGCCACTTAAAAAGCACTTTCAATCGTGGGACCCTGGCTGAAATGGCTTCTTGGATCTCCTTCTCATTGTTTCGTTCCGACTCTAATGTTCTTACCTTCTCGCTCGGAAGTGTTCATCCCTTTCTCTGTCTTCGGTCATTCACAAGTTCTTCCATTTTATCTCCCAGACCCCTGTGGATCTGCCAGCAAAGTTTTAATTCCCAGGAGCGGTTCATTCCCTGAACACTCATTTTTTTTTTTTTTAATATATTTTATTGGTTTTTCATAGAGATGAAGAGAGAGGGATAGAAAGTTAGAAACATCGATGAGATAGAATCATCTGTCAGCTGCCTCTTGCACACCCCCTATTGGGGATGTGCCCGCAACCAAGGTACATGCCTTTTGCCTGGAATCGAACCCGGGACCTTTCAGTCCGCAGGCCGACGCTCTATCCACTGAGTCAAACTGGTCCCGGTGAACACTCATTTTTAGAGCCACTTCCTCTTGTCCTTATAGTTACAGTGTCTTTCCTTATTTCTGAGAATAGCAGTAACTGGTTTTAAGTTTTCTTCTCCCAATATGGTCTATGTTTCTCCAAGTTGTCTGCTTGTGTTTAAGCCCTACCTGGTGTGGCTCAGCGGATAGTGCATCAGCCTATGAACTGAAGGGTCCCAGGTTCAATTCAGTTCAAGGGCACATGGAGGGCTGTGGGCTCGATCCCCAGTAAAGGGTGTGCAGGAGGCAGCTGATCAGTGGTACTTTCTCATCATTGATGTTTCTATCTCTCTCCCTTCCTCTATGAAATAAAAAATTTAAACCCATGGTGGCATCACTCCCCAAGAAGACCCACATCTTGGGGGACATGAGCGCGGGGGAGGGTTTGGGGGGTGTCTGTGGGTGCCAGTGAAGGTTCTGTAGGTTCTTCTGGCTGAACCGTTTGGGGCGCTGGAGCCCTCCCAGGAGGAGCTTCCAGACTTTAGCTGGATCCAGGAGAGGCTGCTGCTCAGCACACAGTGTGACTTCATTTAACCCCTTAACTTCCTCTGTTGGTCTCCTACCTCAACCCAGCCTTTTGCCAAGATGGGAGGAGACCCACAATCCAGACAACAGTGCCCGCTGTCCGCTCAGCGCTCTGTGCAGAGTGAGCCTAGTGCTGGTCCGAGCTTTGCCCTAACCCTGCTTCTAACACTGTCTCCCTGACCTGCGTGGCACCCCTAACACCGCACGGCCAGATGTACCTGGTACCTCTGCCTCCTCAACTGTTTGAATCTTTGGGGTAAAACAGGCTGGTTTTGTTTGTGTCCCCTGCTGACTGTTCACCTTGGCCAGCCTCTGCAGGCATCTGCCCATCAGCTCTCCAGAGCAGGAAAGGTCAGGGGCTTCCTTTACTCTTCATCTTTGGGGGTTTTATTCCTGAAAAGAAAAACAAAAGAATTTCATTGTTGTCTTACTGTTGCTTCAGGATGGAGCAAATTTAAATAGTTTTCCACTCATCCCCACCTGCGATGTTATCAGTAAGGATCCTAACTCCTCCTTTTTCCATAATATCTGTTTCACAGACGCTGGCCCCTCTAGAGGCTTTGGAAATAGTTTCGTTTCCTTCCCAGACTGGTTAGCGAGCTCCGTTTGCTGGGCCGAGTCCTCCCACTAGTCGCACGGTTGACAGCTTGCCCTTCTGGCTGTAGGAGCTTGCTTGTCCCTGAACTTAGGGTCGTCCTGGGTGAGGGGCTGCCCCAGGGCCCATCAAAACCCTGCCATGAGGTTCATCTAGGCCCCGGGCCACTCAGGGTGCTCCCTCTGCAGCCCAGGTCTGTGGGTGGCCTAGGCTGACCGCCCCCCTTACCCTCAGCCACCTGGGCCTCCCCACCAGGGCTCCCGGCTGCTCCTCGTGCACCTCCAGTGGAGGCTTTTTGTGTACCAGCATTCCCATCATGAGAATATTCTGAGTAATGCACCTGTTAGAAAACTCAAAAGGCGGGGGAGTCCTCGGTGAATGCCCCTCCTGTCACACAGCCCCGCTCCCCGCAGCCAGCATTACGTGAGTCCTTCCGGAGTGTAAATACACCAGCAAACACCCTCCAATGCCTGCTCCACCCCTGGCACCGGAGCAGCCAGGCCTCACTGTGCGCACACACTGTGTCCATCAGGCCCCTGCTGACATTGGGTCACTTTTCAGTGACGGACTGAGAAACCACATATGTAGGTCCCTTCACGGACACATACACACACACACAGAGACACAAAAGGGAGGACCAAAGTGCGGGAAACGTGCGGTTCGGTGCATCTTGCAACACCGGCTTCCCTCATGTCCACCAGCAGCACACACCGCTGCCCGGGTCTGCCTGAGGGTGTGGAAGCTCTAAGCCAGAAGGGACTACGCGTGTTTTGTGGGTGGAAGTGCTAGTCAAGCTTCCTTTCCTGTTTGCATCCTTTGCCCACATGGATCAGGCTGTGGGTCTTTCTTGTCCATTTATTAGAATTCTTCGACTAATTTGACCTTGGCCTCTGCAGAGTTTCTGTTTCTCATTGGTTATTTTTTACTCTTAAGTAACTTTGGCTGTGCACAGCTTATCTGCTCTTATGTGACGTAGCTGCCTTTTGAGAACTTGAGATTTTCCCGCCATTGAAGCCACTGTTAGGCGGTCTCCTTGATCTCACTTGCTCTGGCTTCCTCTTCTCCCGCCCTCCTTGCCCTGCTTCTCAGGAGCCTTTGTCACCAGCTTTTCATCCAGCACCAACTGCTGCGGAGCTCAGTGTGGCTGGGGCTGCTCCTGTTCTTCAGACACCTCTCCACCCCACCCTGTCAGGTCTCATGCAGGCACCTCACAGCCCCCACGTTCAGGTTTCCATGGAGCTGGGCCCCACGCCTGCACCCACAGCCTGCATTTCTCACTGTCCCTCAGGGGCCGGTCAGACCCGCCGGCTCTGTGCTTTGGGGAGGGCACTCGCCCACCCTGACAGCTGGCCTTGGTTAACACCCCTTCTAGAAAGGCGATGTTTGCAAACTGAGTAAGACCCGGAAAGCTTGTCTGGCTTCTCAGTTTTCCTCCTCAAGCAAGATCCGTGCCCTTGTCACTCCCTGCCGCTCTGGCCCTGTCTGCCTCCGTGGTCAGCAGGGAGCCTCCAGCTCACACTGTGCACCGGGCTGGGTGCTCGGGCACAGGGGACTGTCTCGCACTGGATCCCCTTGTGCAATGCAGGGCTTGTGCACCAGATGGACGGCGGCTCTGCTGGCCCGGGCACTGCGAGCCCCCACCGCCCCGTCCCCTGGGGCCGCAGTGCGGCCGGCCTCCCACAAAGTGGCTCCTCGCACGAGCCCGGGCTCCCGGGAGGTGAGCAGGAGCGCCCGGACAAGGATCCCCACCAGGGAGCGGGCCCCATCATGGCCACTGCCCGCTGGCCAGGCCCCCGGGGTCGGAGCCGGGGCCGAGGCTGTGCCAACGCGGGCGGCGGGGCAGTGCGAGGCGGCCGCTGCGACGTGTGCGGGAAGGCCTTCAGCCAGCGCAGCAACCTGCTGCGGCACCAGAAGATACACACGGGCGAGCGGCCGTTTGTCTGCGGGGACTGCGGCCAGGGCTTCGTGCGCAGCGCGCGCCTGGAGGAGCACCGGCGGGTGCACACGGGCGAGCAGCCCTTCTCCTGCCCCGAGTGCGGCCAGCGCTTCTCGCAGGCGTCCGGGCTCACGCAGCACCTGCGCACCCACACGGGCGAGCGGCCCTTCGCCTGCCCCGAGTGCGGCAAGGCCTTCCGCCAGCGGCCCACGCTCACGCAGCACCTGCGCGTCCACACCGGGGAGAAGCCCTTCGCCTGCGCCGAGTGCGGCCGGCGCTTCGGCCAGAGCACCCGGCTCATCCAGCACCAGCGCGTCCACAGCGCGGAGTAGCGGCGCTCCCGACCCCGTGCCCACCTCGGGCCTGTGCCCACGTGGGGAGGGGACACCCCGGCCTCACAGGGTGGTGAGGCCTCCGCCGCACAGGTGCCAGCGGGCGGCCCCGCAAATGCTCAATAAACAGAAGGAACCTGGGTCTGGGTGTCCACGCACACAATGCCACCCACTGCGCGGCCCTCTCCAACACACACACACCCTTCCCGCTGCGACCCTGCAGTCCCCGAGCGCCGTGACCCCCACCCCCACCCTCCGAGATGATCCTGGCAGCAGCTGCACGTCTGTGGGTGCCTCCTCCATGGCTCGAGATGCCTTCCACGCACACACACACCCGCTGCCCCAGCCAGCTGCCGGAGGACCCCACGGCTGGTTCTCCCCTGCAGCCCAGACACAGCCTGGCATGTCTTTGTCAAACCTTTAACCTGGGAAGACGTCCCTGAGGTGAGAAAGCTGGGTGATTTTATCTGGAAACACAACCTGCGGGACTTTCCCCCAACCCCTATGGCATAGGGCCTATGGGCACAGGGGTCGGTGGCAGGCCCAGGCCAGGTCCCAGCCCCTGGGCTGCACTTCCGCCCTCACTCCTCTCCCGTCCTGTTCTGCCCTCCCTGAGGCTCTGGTCCAGCTTCCCTCGGAGCTTGTGCACGTGCCAAGCGCTGGCTGCCTCCCAGAGGCTGCAGGCCCCTCCGCAGGCAAACCACCGGTGCCCTCTGGGAGGACACAACGGTGACAAAGACCACTTCCAGTCCAGCCTGCTGCCTCAGTTCGGCCATCCCCTCCCGCCCTTCCTGGTCCAGCCCCCATGGCCTCCTTCACCAGAATTTCCTGCGCGGTTGAGTCTAGGCCACGATGTTAGACACCACACTTGTCCAGCTTTGGCCAGTCCAGCGTCACCTCTCCAATAACCTGTGCCCCTGTGCCCAGAGGGGCCTCAGCAACTGGCCAGGCTGGCCAAAAGGTTCCCCGAGACCACGGCTGGAAAAAGATGGCCATCCACCTCATGAGGAGGCCGAAACGACAAAGCAGAGCGGCTAACAAGAACGGAGAGGAAGGGCCAGAGGGAAAGGGCTGAGTGCCTGCAGCCTGAGACCGCCGGCGTGTACCCCAGCGCCTCGCCAGCGATCGGCTCTCTGGGCTCCAGAGGGGACGCCGGGGCTGCGAGGCTGGGCGGCCAGGGGGCTGCAGGGCGCATGTGGGGCGGTGGCGTGGAGGCCGGAAGGAGGGGCAGTTGCTGGGGTCAGCCCACCGGGCCCGGGCGCCAAGGGTACCGGCGCTCATGGGGCAGAGCCTCCGCGGAGGCCGGCGGCAACTCGCTGCGCTGAGGACGGGGAAGCGGTGGACGCCGGTCCGTCCCGGGAGGGGGGCGTCAGGGCCACTGCGCCGAGCTGAGAACCGCGCGCCTGAGATCGGGGGGTCTGCGTCTCCCCAAAAAGGGAAGCCCCGCCAGAGCTGCCCATCCCGGCCCTGCCCTGGCGACCTACCTCCTCACCGGCCGGAAGGTTCCCGCGGTGACGCCGGAAATGGCAGAACCACTCACGCCGCTGCGTCCCGCCCTCCGGAGCATGCGGAGCTGTGATTGGAGGAGAGGCTGAGCCCGCCCACAACGCCCGTGGCGGCGCCGCGGGAACCCCAGACCCACGCTGAGGCGGCCCCGCCCCCCAGCCTTCCCTTATTACACTTAACTGGTACATGTTTAGTTATTTTAGCTCCACCTGAGTCTCCGCGAGCGGATGGTTGGGGTTGGCGATGGGACATGAGGGTGCTCCACCCCGTACCCTCCGGACAACACCCCTGGCCTCACCCCAGGCCCCAGCCCCGGCATCACCAGGCTCCTGTCCGGGTCGAGGGCCTCACTTGACCCCCCACCCCCGCCCCACTTGACCCCCCACCCCCCCCCCGCCCCACCGCGGTCTGCAGTGGGGCCAGGGGGATTGGCCGGACCGCAAGCGATGTGGTCTGCCCCACTTAAAGATGGCGGCGACGCCGTCCCCTGCCAGGATCTGCGAGCGTTCCCGGAAGTGACCGAGGGACGCCCCGCACGAGCGGAAATACTCGAGCCCAGCCGAGGGAACCCGAACTCAGCCCCGTCGCTGACCGACGCTGGGCGGGGACCGCGGCGGCTGCGCAGGCGCACAGCGCAGGCCGGGCGGGAAGAGCCGAAGCGCGGACTGGAGGCGGAAATATCCGAAGTGCTGGGGCGCCCGAGGCCGTTGCGGACCTCCGCGCCGAAGCCGCTGCTGCCGCGGAAGCCGGCCTCCTCCAGGACACGGCCGCCGCCACTGCGGTCGCCACCGCCTCCTTTCACCTCGAGCCGCATCCTCTTCACGGAGGGGGCGAGGGAGCGGACGGGCGGCGCGGCCCTGCGAGCCCGCGTCCGCGGCTGGGCCTGAGAGACCGGAGCGGCGAGGGGGCGGGGGAGCGGCCGGTGGGGGCGGGGCGAGGGGCCGAGGACCGCCGAGTCGGGCCGAGCGCCGCCGAGCGAGGCCGAGGCGCCGGGCCAGGCCGGAGCCGGACTACGGGAGCCGACGCGGGCCGCGCTGTGGGCGCGGAGCGGCGCGGCAGGCCGGACGGGCCGCGGCAGCAGCGGAGGAGGCCGCGGCGGCCGGTCCGAGTGGCGGAGGCGGCGCGGGCAGCGGCGGGGGGCCGGGCGGCCGGGGTCCCGGGCCCCGCGGCGGCGGCGGCGGCGGCAGCAGGATGATCAAGCTGTTCTCGCTGAAGCAGCAGAAGAAGGAGGAGGAGTCGGCGGGCGGCACCAAGGGCAGCAGCAAGAAAGCGTCGGCGGCGCAGCTGCGGATCCAGAAGGGTAGGGGTCGGGAGGTGGGGTGGGGTCGGAAGTCCGGGCTGGGGTGGGACGACGAGGGAGCCGGGAGCGGGGTGGGGTGCTAGCCGGGGGTCGGGGGGCTCCGAGTTGGGGAGGCTGTGGATGGAGCGGGTCGGAGGTCAGGGCCTGGCTTTGCGGGGATGGAGGACCCGAGGTGGGGTAATGCGGTCGCCGGGGTTTCAGAGGTTGGGGGACACCGGATGGGGCATCGAGGATATTCAGAAAGCCAGGCGTTTGGTACTGGGGACTGAGCCCGGGGTCGGGCGGGAACCTGGGTGGCAGGGAGAGTAATGGGCAGGATTTCGTGGGTTATGCCGGGGTCCCTGGGAAGGGAGAGTCCGATGGTGCCGAGGAGGTTTCAGGGCGTGGGGTACGTGTGGTCTGAGTTTGGGTGACAGGTGGAGGAGGAAGGGATGGTGGGTACCAGAGAGAAGCAGACAAGAGTGGTAGAACGTGGGGGAGGCTGGGGACTCACGGGTTTGGGGTGACAGGATGGAGGGTTGGGACGCAGGATTGGTGAAGGGATGACTAGGGTATGAGGGGCAGGGTCCTTGGGTTTGGGTGGCAGATGGGGACTAGCAGAGTCACTAGACAATGGGTCTTGGCTGCAGATCCTGGGGTTTGAGGTAGGTAGAGGCTTTGGGGGAACCCTTGGGAGTGGGGGCTGCTAGGAGCTGGGTTGGGGGGCCCAGCTGTTGAGTAAAGGGATTTGAGACTGTAGGTTAAGAAGCCGCAGATGCAAGGCCACAGGCACCATTGAATTTGCATGTTTGGGGTGTGCTGTGGAGCCAGAAGATCCTGCTTGGAGACTGGGGAGAGGGTTGGGGGTGTGAGGCACAGCCCAGGACACAGCCCCAGGTCCAGGGAGGAGACCATGGGGCCTGCTGAGCACCCTCCCCTCTCCTCCCCTTGCCTCTCTTGGTTCCCCTTCTCTGCATTACAAACCCAGACATAAACGAGCTGAACTTGCCCAAGACCTGTGACATCAGCTTCTCAGACCCCGACGACCTCCTCAACTTCAAGCTGGTGATCTGTCCTGATGAGGTGAGGACACACCCCGCTGGCCGGACACCCAGGCCCTGGCTGGGCCATGGCCCCATCTAAGGAGGGAGACCTGGTTCCCCTGCCAGGCCCCGAGGGATGGCGCTCTGAGGCTTTCCTTCTCTCCCCTCCCAGGGCTTCTACAAGAGTGGGAAGTTTGTGTTCAGTTTTAAGGTGAGTCTCAGGTGGGCCGGGGTGGCCCCTGAGCTGCGGAGGCAACGGCTGAGGCCCAGCCAGACACTGGGGGCCCCTGTCCACCTCCCTCTTTTCCCGGAGCCAGGTGGGCCAGGGTTACCCGCATGACCCCCCCAAGGTGAAGTGTGAGACGATGGTCTATCATCCCAACATTGACCTCGAGGGCAACGTCTGCCTCAACATCCTCAGGTGAAGGCCTGGCCCGCTCCTGCGCTCCCCAGCCCTGCCCGCCAGGCCCCGCCACGGCCTTGCACTGACCCAGTGTCCATCCCTTTCCTCCCCCGTGCTCTGTCCCTGTGTCTCTTCACTTCTGTTTCCTTCCTTGTGGCTTGACCTTGACTTTCTCCCTGGCCTGTGCTACCTCTGCCTGCGCCCTCCCCCATCCTCATAGCCACATTGTCTGTGCCTTGGGCCTGGCCAGTCCTGGCAGGGCCAGTGGCAGCCACCCACCCACCGGCCCCTGAACCTCATGCTCTCTGCCCACAGAGAGGACTGGAAGCCAGTCCTTACGATAAACTCCATAATTTATGGCCTGCAGTATCTCTTCTTGGTGAGTAGGGGTGGTGGGTAGGCCTTGAGAGGTTGGCCCCCTGCCCCTCAGGCCTGTTGACCCCCCCCCCCTCACTCATACTGGCCACAGGAGCCCAACCCCGAAGACCCACTCAACAAGGAAGCTGCTGAGGTCCTGCAGAACAACCGCCGACTGTTCGAGCAGAACGTGCAGCGCTCCATGCGAGGTGGCTACATCGGCTCCACCTACTTTGAGCGCTGCCTGAAATAGGGTGGGCGCACACCCACCCCTGCCAGGGCCACCCGCCCCGGCGTCCCCTGCAAATATTTATTGGGGGCCACAGGTGGGGGGATGGGGGCCGCAGGTGGGGTAATTCCATGCCCTAGCCTTGCCTCCCCTTCCTGTCACCGGCTCCTAGTTATTTTTTTTTTAACCACCACGTGATTACGGTCGGAGCTGCCTCCTCCCGACCCGCTCAGCGATGGGAAATGAATTGGCTTGTCTAGCCCCCTGCTGGGTGCCATACAGCCTCCCACTCTGGGCTCTGGGGTGGGTGGCCAAGGGGACTGGGTGGCTGGGGGCCCGCCACCCCATTCCTCCACCACTGGAGGTCCCACCAGGCTATTAAAGGGGAATGTTACTGCACGGCCTCCGCCTCTTCCTTCTGTGGGGCGGGAGGGGCAGGCGATGTCCAGCTCGGCTCCTGGGGGCTGGGAGGGGCGGGTCCACTCTGTGGTGAGAAGGGGGCGGGACCCGGCTTCCAGTGGCTGTCCGGCCGGTAGGCCAGCTCGGAGAACGTCCGCGCCATCACCCCGCCCCTCTGCTTGGGTAGCCAGCCAGGGGAGGACCCTGCCAGCTGCTGCCCGGTGCTGAGCCGTAAACATCAGGGAGGAGTCCGAGTCCCCTGAGTTAACTGACCCTGCGGTGAGCTGCGTGGTGTGGCGGGAGGTGGGACTGCGGTCCCGCACTGCGGGCGTGGCTCCACCGGGGCGGGCCTGGGCACGCCCTCCGGCCAGTCGCGGGGAAGCGGGCGCTAGTGCGCATGCGCCGGGGCGCCGGCCAGCCTCCGCGCGTGCGTGGTTTTGCCGCCTCCCCGCCTTCCGGGGGTGGGCGGGGCTGCGACGTCAGGTCGTTTAATCCGGAAACGGCGGCGGCGACAGAACCGAGGGGTTGTCGTTGGTGGGCGCTCCCGGGATTCGAGCGAGAGGCTCGTAACCCGGAAGCGGAAGCGGGTTCCCGTCCCAGCTTCGGTGAGTGGCCCCTGCCAGGCCGTGGGTCCCGGGTGGGCGCGTGGGCGGCAAGGTGCGAGGGGCCGCGCCCTTCCCGGGACCCTGGCCTCGCAGTCGGGGCGCCCGTCGCCGTCTTGTTCGCGGGGCGCAGGGCCCCACCCCCGCGATGGTGTACCGAGGCCCCGGCCCCCCAGGTTTATCCGCACCCGGTTCCTTAGCGTCAGGGCCCGACAGGAATGCCCGCACGCTGTCAGCCTGGCCCTCGGGGCCTCCCCCTAGTTTGCTCTCCCGTGAGGACCGCCCACTACTGCCCTGACCCTAGCGGCAGCGGACCCCAGCCGTCCTCCTCCAGGCTCCTCAGGCGCCAGCCCCGCGGGGTCCCCCGGCCTGGAGCGTCCGGGCGCCGATGGAGGGGCTGGCGCCGACGGAGAGGGGCTGGCGCGGGCGCTGTGACCGTCCTCAGCACGGCCTCCGTCCCCTCTGCCCCTGGGGGACCCCCACACTTGGGCTGCGCGCCTTTGGCTTTCTAGTCACGCCTCCTCTCCGTCCCCCTCCTGTCTGGCCCCTCCATCCATGCTGCCTTTCTGGGCCCCCTGCCGCCGCAGCTCGGCTTCCCACCGGCCCCAGGCCCAGGGGCGGTTCCCGCCGCCATGGACCTGTTGTTCGGGCGCCGAAAAACGCCCGAGGAGCTGCTGCGACAGAACCAGCGGGCGCTGAACCGCGCCATGCGGGAGCTGGACCGTGAGCGGCAGAAGCTGGAGACCCAGGAGAAGAAGATCATCGCAGACATCAAGAAGATGGCCAAGCAGGGCCAGATGGTGAGCGCAGGGGGCAGAGGCAGCCGGACAGGATTCCACAGGCAGGTGCTGCCCGGCCAGGGGAGGGAAGAGTGAGCGGGCTGCCTCCCAGGAGGTGATGCCGGAGGCAAACCTTGAGGAATGAAGAGGAAGAGAAAGTGTGATCCGGGCTGCAAATGTCAAATGTGTGCACAGGAAAGGGGAGGGGGAGGCTTGATGGCAGGAGACAGCCTGGAGACACTGACCTGCAGGCTGGACCCTGCCTGAGCGAGTGAGCAGAGCCTTGGGGCCTGAGCAGCTAGGGTGAGGTGGGATATGGGCAAGGCCAGGAAGGGGTTTGGGGTGTCAACAGCTGAGCTTGGAGTTAGTTGAGGGTCAGGCCTGTGGTGAGGTGGAAGGGCAGCAGATTCTTGGGTTAAGGGGAACCTCAGACACAGGGTCAGAAGTGAGAAGCCTAGCCGAAACCAGTTTGGCTCAGTGGATAGAGCGTCGGCCTGCTGACTGAAGGGTTCCGGGTTCGATTCCGGTCAAGGGCATGTGCCTTGGTTGTGGGCATATCCCCAGTAGGTAGGGGGTGTGCAAGAGGCAGCTGATCGATGATTCTCTCTCATCGGTTTCTAACTCTATCCCTCTCTGTAAAAAATCAATAAAAATACATATTTTTTTTAAAGTGAGAAGCCTGGGAGCCGGGCAGTGGCAGGTGGGCGCAGTGGGAGCCTTGGGTCTAGCCACACAGGTCTGGGTTCTCCCCCTCCACCGGGCTCTCTGCCACCTGTGCCCTCAGGACGCTGTGCGCATCATGGCCAAGGACCTGGTGCGCACACGGCGGTACGTGCGCAAGTTCGTGCTGATGCGGGCCAACATCCAGGCTGTGTCCCTCAAGATCCAGACACTCAAGTCCAACAACTCCATGGCGCAAGCCATGAAGGGTGTCACCAAGGCCATGGGCACCATGAACAGACAGGTGGGTCTCTCCCGTCCCCCTCGCTGCCCACCCCGCAGGACCCCGCTCACCCTCCCCCCACCCATTGCAGCTGAAGCTGCCCCAGATCCAGAAGATCATGATGGAGTTTGAGAGGCAGGCAGAGATCATGGACATGAAGGAGGAGATGATGAACGATGCCATCGACGATGCCATGGGGGACGAGGAGGATGAAGAGGAGAGGTTTGCGGACCCAGGTGGGAGGAGGGAGCAGAGGCCTGGCCCTCGGGGGACTGACCGAGTTTTCCTCCCCCAGCGATGCTGTGGTGTCCCAGGTCCTGGATGAGCTGGGACTGAGCCTGACGGATGAACTATCCAGTGAGTGCTTCCAGCCTCGGGCCCTGACCCCACCCCGACCCCCCTCTTGGCATTGCTGCTCACAGGGCTCCCACCCCCTCTCCCTGCAGACCTCCCCTCCACTGGAGGCTCCCTCAGTGTGGCTGCTGGTGGCAAGAAAGCAGAAGCTGCAGCCTCCGCCCTGGTGGATGCCGACGCAGACCTGGAGGAAAGGCTTAAGAACCTGCGGAGGGACTGAGGGCTCCAGGCCCCCGAGGGCACTCTCCCTGTACCCTTCCTGTAATTAATAAAAGATTGGACACTAGTCCCTGCACCTGTGTGACTGGCCCAGAGTGGGCCAGACTGGAGTTGCTTGGGCAGGAGTCACTCGGTATGGCTGCCAAAGAGATGGTGTCAGAGGATTTGGGGGTGTGGTGGGAGGACAAGGATGGACTAACCCCGCCTCCAAACTATCCCCTCAGAGGGGTGGCTCCTGGGAGGAGCGGAGGCCTGTCTGCCAGGTGTACACAGGGCCAACAGGAGCCAAGCCCAGAGATGGTTATAAGCCTCCAGTGTGTGCGCCCTCCCAAACGGGGTGCTCCTGTCACCAGGACTCAGAGAGATGCTCTTCCCACTGTGGACATCGAACAGCTGGGAACAATGGCCCCATCCTACTTGGCCCACCAGAGCTTTGGAAGGGAGAGATGTTGGCAGAGATCAGGCCCAGGGAAACGGCCCCCACCAATCAAGACAGGAGGAACTCGTGAAGTTTTTATTAAATCCACAGAAGTAAAAACCATAGTGAGGGTCCAGGGAACAGGGCTACCAAGGAGTGGGAGCCAGACCACCAGAGGGAGGGGCAGGGCTGACGGGACACACCAGGCCGAGCTGGCTTAGGGACCATCACCGGAGCCACTGGCCAGCTCCTGGGCGCTCAGGCCAGCACCAGGCAGGCTCAGCGGCGGGGGCTCCACCAGCACGGCAGAGAACTTGGTATCGCCAAACGCCTCGTTCATCCGCGTCTCAAAGAAGCGCTGCAGGCCGATGATGGACTGCACATCCGCCTTGTCCTGGGCGCAGAGTCGGAGGTGGGTTCCCACTCGCCCCAAACCCCAGCCAGCCCAGCCCCAGCCCCTCCAGACTCACCTCCGTCAGCTTGTTGAACTGCTTGAACATGCGGCCCACGTCCTGCGCAAATTCTTGAGGGGAGCTGTAGGGGGGCGACAACTTCTCCTGGAGGCGGGCGCGGATCAGGGTCAGGTCCAATGTGCCACCAGGCTGATCCTACAAGTAGAGGCCACAGGCTGTCGGTGAGAACAGGCAGCTCATAACCACCCACCACCCCTCAGGTCCCAGGACTCACCACAGAAAAGCTGGAGTCGGTAGCCAGCTGGTGCAGGGGCCGGCAGGGCTCATGGCAGAAAAGGGCCAGCAGGACACGCTCACACTTCTGTGGACAGTCGGGCAGGACACATCAGAGCACAGTTGGGGACGGGGCATGCAGCTGCTGGGCAGCCAAGGGACGGCCCCCTCACCTGCTGGTTGGCTGGCGAGAGCTTGGCCACCACACCACTGCTGTCCCCGCCGCCCAGGCCCAGGCTGCCATCCTCCTCCTTCAGGTCGGGCAGCACGTGGCAGAGCGAGCAGCTCCACTCCTCGCCGGGCACGTCCTGCAGGGCCGGCAGGTGGCAGTCCAGGTGGAAGCAGAACTCGCACTGGTTGCACATGACCAGGTCGCCTGGCTTCTGGCAGACGCGGCAGATGGTGGCGCTGTCGTCTAGGGCCCCGGGGCCACCAGCGGGGACTGAGGTGCCCTCGGGAGCCACCACCTCCAGGCCGGAGCTGGTGCTGCCGCTGGGGGAGACCAGGCGGGGGCCCTCCACGCCGGGGCCCTCCCCCAGAGCCATCAGCACCGGCTTGGTCTCCGGGCCCTCGCTGGCCGGCGGGGCGCCGATGGCAGCCTCTGTCTCTTCCTCCTGGAGGGAGAGGCGGGCTCAGCAGGGTGCCGGCCTCGGCAGAGGTCCTTCATTCGCCTGCCTCGGCCAACTGGGGAAGGCTCACCTTGACAATGGCCATGCCAGGCAGGGGCTGGGCACCAGCAGCGCCGGGCGCAGTGCCCGGCTGCCCAGCGGCGGCGGTAGCCCCGCGCTCGATGACAATCAGGTTGTAGTCCTCGGTGGTGCTGCCGGGGAAGACCTTGAAGACTGGCGGCTGGCTGTCACCGGTGAGGTCCAGGTCCAGGCGCTCCAGGCTCACCCGGGGCACCTTGCGCATGAGGCCGCTCACTTCGCCCTCCGCGGAGCGGGACCTGTGGGTGGCAGCGTGGTGTGAGCACCCTATCTACCCCAATGCCCGCGGCTCCCAAGGACAACACTCACCGCTTCATGCCGGACACGTGGGGCTCGGCACTCATGTAGGAGTCGTCTGCTCAGGAGACAGGGGAGACGGTGGGTGGTGGGTGGAGCTGGCCCACTGAGCTCTCCCCCCCACCACAGGCCAGACCCACTCACCTGACGCGAAGCCATAGCCCTCCTGCATGTCCATGGGCTGCAACAGAGCAGATGGGACTTCAGTGGGCAGGCGTCCCAGAGGACCACACGCCCCCTCTCCCCGGGCCCTGCCCCTCCCACCTGGCTGCCGCCAGCGCCCTGCTTGCTGCTCAAGGGCCCCGGAGCCCGAGGCGGGGCCATGGGCGCGGGGCCCGTGGAGTTGGTGCCAGGACGCTCCGCCACGATCTTGCCGAAGGCCTCGGCGCTCTTGGTCCAGGCGTTGAGGTCCCACTGGAATTTCATCTCGCCGTGCGGCTCCACGGGGTCCACGATCATCTTGAGCGCCCGGTGCAGCTGGAAGTAGATGAGCTTCTTGGAGAGCAGGAGGGCCGTGTTGTTGTCGCTCTCCAGGGCCCAGGAGGCAAAGCGCAGGATGTGCTCCTGGTGCTTCTGGATCTTGGTCATGGTCCAGTGCTGCCGCTCCAGGCGCTCCTGCTGCCCCTCCGTCACCTTCTGCGCTCAGAGGGGGACGGGGGTCAGGTGGACCGGGGGCCGGGACCCCCCCATGCAAGGATGGGGCCAGCGGGGGTGCTGGTCCCAGGACCCGCGCCCACAGGCCTACCTGGGCGTCATTGACCAGCACACGGCCCCTTTTGTTCAGCTCCTTCATGATCTGCAGGATGGCCATCTTCACATCCACCTGCACACGCTTCTGCACGTCCGACACCTGGCGGATCCTGGGGAGAGGGGCCGGTCAGGTCTGCTCAGGCTGTACCCCGGGGGCGCCCGGGCCCTGGAGAACACTTACGAGCTGCGAACCTCCTTGGTGTTCTTCTGCAGCGTGGCGTGCTTGTCCCCGAGGCGCTTCACCAGCGAGGCCAGGAGCTTGCGCTGGTTCCTCACGGCATCCTCCAGGAACTGGTACCTGGGGGCAGACAGGCGGGCCTGGGCGCTGAGCACGAACAGGGAGGCAGGCCCCCCACCCCGGGACTCACTGGTGGTCCTTGTGGGCATTGAGCTGGCAGTCCCGGCAGGTGAGGGTGTCGCAGCTCTCGCAGAACAGGACAAGCGGCTCGTGCTTGTGCACGGTGCAGTACACAGTGCGCTCGCCGTCTCGGGACTTGGCTGGCCCTGGGGAACAGGGAGGGGAGGACTGCATGCTCGGCTCCTCAGCCCAGGGACCTCGCCCCCTGCCGGTCCTGCAGCCCTGGCTGTCTCTGGTGAGGCCCAGCAGCAGTGGCCACAGCCCTCTGCCCCAACCCACCCCCACCCCCTGCCACAGGTCAGCTCCAGGAGATGCAGCGTGAAGGTAATGGGCCCTGGAGAGTTGGCTCTGTCCAGCAAGGGAGGGGACTGGAGGCCGAGGCATCCCAGCACAAAGAATACCTGCTTTCTGGCACATACAGGAGTCAGAGTATTCCCTCAGGAGCCACACCTGGAGCCCTCCCCCTGCTCCTGCAAGCACAGGCCCACAAGGGGCCTTGCCAGCTCTGGCTATGGGAGGGGCATTGTCAGACCAGGTACAGGTGCCCTTCCTGTGAGGGAGGATCCCCACCCTCAGACCCTGTCACCATTAGGAAGCTGCTGGGGCATCTGTTCCTTTCCTCCCCAAATCTAAAAGCACCCCAACTACAACAACCCCACCACACAGACCAGCCAGGCCTGGGCTCCTTCAGGACAGCCTCCTCCTGCACCCTGACCTTAGCCTAAATCCTAGGATCCCCAGACCTCCACCCTCCGCCCTTTCCCTCCTGGGTCACCAGCTCCAAGGCCTCCACCTCCACCCTCCACTTCCCATCAGTAAGCATGGTCCTGGGCTGGAGAGCCAGGGAACTACCACAGGCCACTAGTGGGGAGACTCGGGAGGGAAGCCCAGATGACCTTACCGACAAAACACTCCAGGACTCGCTGAGGTTACGGCCTGTGAGGCTCTGGCACCAACCAGAGGCCTCTCTGGTGCCAGGAAACCCCAGGTCCAGGAGGCACCTCTTCCCAAGCCTCACACTCATCTCAGTGTCTGCACTGCCATCTCTCCACCCTGGTCTTCCCCTCCCTGGGGCTTCCCTGCCAGGCACTTGCCTGGACCCCATGGAGGTCCTCTGACCCAATGAGGTCCCCTTGGGCCTTTCTCCTCCCACCTGGACCAGGGAGCCTGCACCCCTAGCCCCAGATCCACCCTGGCCTTTCCAGGACTGCTCCCTAGAGAAGATGCAGGACCCACCACCTGCAACCACCTCATCAGCGGGTGACAGCAGGGCCTCCCCCGCCCCCTGCCCCTTGCGCACCCGTGGAGCGCACAGTGTGGTCCTTGGTGTACTTGACCCGCTGGTGCGCCTCCACACAGGTCTCACACAGGGGTTCGGAGCACTCCACGCAGTAGCTGGTGGCCGGGGCATTATCCTCGCAGCTGGTGCAGCACTGCTGGGCGAAGGCAGAGTCAGGGAACCACCCCCAGAGGCTTCCCGCTGCACCGCGAAAAACCTGAGGGGCCCCCCAATGCGGGGACAGTGCCACCTGGATGGCGCCTCTCCCCATGGCCGAGGCCACCCCGTGGTGTCCAGGGCAGGACCCACCTGATTGGCGTCCTGGGAGTCAGCGGGGGCCTTGCTGCCACTGTCACGCATGAAATAGTTCTCCACAATGTCTTTGGAGAAGCATTGCTGCTTGCACACGGGACAGTCCACGACTGCTGAGGGACCAACGAAGCCATTGCAGGATCACAGCCAGGAAACACCCCATCCCCGCGCCCGCCCCCAACCTCGGCCCCACGCTGGGCCGGCCCCTCCCCTCCCGCAGCAGGAGCCAAAATCTCTCCTCCCCCTGGGAGCAGACGCCC